GTCGGAAATCCCTCGGTTTATTAAACCGTCGGAAATCCGTCGGTTTATTAAACCGTCGGAAATCCATCGGACAACGATATACTGACAGATTTCCGACAGCTTTCCGAAGGGTGGATTTCCGTCGGAAATCCGTCGGAATTTCCGACGGATTTCCGACGGAATTTCTATTTCCGACGAGATAGAAACGACCGACCAAAACCGTCGGAAAGCCGTCGGAAAAGGCCTGTTTCCGACGGAATTACGACGGTTTTGGTCGTCTGAATTCCGCCTGTTTTCTTGTAGTGATATTGTCTACTCGTGAGAGGGTAAATATCATTTCCAACGTGTATGTATATAAAAGAGTACTTAGTAACAAAAGACAAATATCGTAACTTAAAAAAAAAAATGACAAATTCATATTTGCGGGTACCTTATTTATAATTTTGTTTTTTTAATTTTACATTTTAAAAATGTGAAAATATGTATTTGACCATTTAGGGTAAGGCTTAATTGAACAACTGGCCATTTAGTTGAACAACTGCCTTCCCGCAAATATTTCAAGTCTGTGAACAAATCGTTTTTGTTTTTGGCTACGAATTCATGTTCCGACTAAATGTTTCCTAAAATTTTTATTTGTAAACTTTTAGGATGTGAGTAATGTACGACAAGTTCCAGATCATCAGGTTAGGCTCTTTCTTTAATCAAGTATTTGCATAATTGTTATAAAGATAGTATAGAAGAATTTCTAATAATAAAGTTGTTGTTTTAATTGTTGTATATATGGCAATTAAGAAGTGTTTATAGATTCTTCAAGGGATGAGAGTTTGATATTTGAACTTTTAGATTTCAAGACTAAGGTTGGGGATTATAGTAGTTCTCACGAGCAAGATGTCGAAGGATTCAAGGTAATCAATCACACTAGACTTTGTCCTTATTAAATGTTTCGAGAAACGAATCAAAGGTTCAATTTTTTTGGAATTCCGGGATCCAGAACTTGTGTTATTATTCTAGAGTAGGAGCTTCTGTTTTCATTGCCATACTTTTGGGATCATAAGCTCATAAACTAGCTTGAAGGATTTTGTTATTTCGGTTATTATATTTTTGAAACCGATCAATATAGGACAATCAGGTTTAGCTATTATAATTCTCCAACTAGAGATAGGATTGGATACTTGCTAGGCATATAGGTTTTGGGTTTCACTATGTAAACGTGATTCTTAGTGTTGTTTGAGACCATTTAGTGATTCTTAGTGTTGTTAGTGTCTGCTGAAGCAAACAGACAAATTGATATAATAGATCAAACCAATTAATCATTTAAACAACATAATTTCAAAAACTAGTACTCCCTCCATTTCTAAATAATTGATGTTTTGGAAAAAAAAATTCTAAAAAATTTGCAAAAATGCAATTAATTAAAGATTTTTAAGCCATTAAGTCTTAAAATTCTAAACTCTAAAAAATGTTTTGACCCCTAACAAACTCTAATCCATCAAAACTAAATCCTAATGCAACATAGTTAACACAAACATAAATGAATTTGAAAAAGTGGCATATTTTGCAAAAAAAAATTAAAAGTGGTATTTCTAAAATCTCTCTTAAATTTATGAAAATATTAATTTTTCAAAATTAAATATTTTTTTATAATTGCATTAAGTTTTACAAAAATAAAAAAATCATTGAGTTGTCTCTTAGATCTTGTAACGACTGCGAACCAATTTTTTTGAATTTTGGTCGTGCGTCGATCGACGCAAAGTTAGTTGAACCGTCGGATTTCGGTTTTAATCGCTCGGTTTGCGGCTCGGTTTGGGAGGAACCCCAGGGTTCACGTATATAAGCCGGGAGGCCGCGTTTTAGTCGAGTTTTTGGTCAGAAAATCAGAGAGAAGTGAGTTGTGAGAGGATTGAGAGGAATCGAAGGATTATTGTTGATTTCTTCGTGTTCTCGATCCTGAAAGCTTGTTATTCTGATTGTGAGGCTCTTGGATCGTGTTTTGATCCGTGTTCTTAGTGGAGGAAGAAGGGATTTCGGATTTGGGGATCCGTTCTTCGTGTTCTTCGTGTCCTTCGCTGTTTTTCATCCATTTTCCTTTCCGAAACC